CTCAGGTAAACGATTCTGAATTAGATCTGACTTCATTCGGAATTAGATCTGGGTTCGTTCGTAAATAGAAGTGGCATGATCTAATACAGAATTTAGCTGATCTAATTCCGAACGAACACCGAATGAACTACGAACGAATTAGATCTAATTCCGAACAGACCAGCGGGATTTCGGAGCATCGTAGCGAGCGCTTTTCAAATTTTGTTTTCTTTTCAACGCCATTCACTTTATTTATAATAACATTTATTAAAAAAGAAAACAGAACAAGTATGAGAAAAAGAAAAACATTGATTAAAATGTAGATATAGGAAATCGGAACGAAAATGAGGGGTGTGATACAAATGAATGAATGGGATCAGCAAAAAAGAAAACGATGAGATCAGCGAGAATAATGGGACCTATGAGATAAGAAAAAGTGACAAAATTTATGAAAAAAAAAATCTCAATTCGAATTCTTCCGCTCGTCCATATTTTCGATTTTGAAAATTCTCTTGTCATAGCCATTCAATAATGCCATTCTTGAGCCATTTCAATATAATTTCCGTACTCAAATCTTTGCAAATCCAAATAAATTCATCAGAGCAGTTGTTTTATACAACAAATCCCAAAATTTTGAATCGTTTTAATCGGGTCATGACACATTCGGTTGAGAGCCTGCAATTTCACGCACGTTTCTTTGTCCACCAGACATTCGAAAACTAACCTGCTCATGACAAGACACGGCTTCCAAAAGTAAGGCCTTCTCGACTTGAGTAAATTGAGCTCACTATCAGAGAAATTTATCATCTCTTTTTTTCTTGTTTTTTCGGTGATCCCTTGCATCGTTTTTACGTAATCCTTTAAGCTGAAAAGGGCAAAAATTATCTTACCTGCAGAGTTTTCTCCGAATTTAAAATCTTCAAAATATTCGTATTTTTGTCGGTTCATAGAATTACTGTCTTCTATAGAAATCGTATATATAAATTGAACTTTGAATATTCAGCTGTCCCTAAAAAAATTCACCTAAAATTTTGCAAAAACGTGCACAACACATTAAAATATGCTCCAGAAAATATAGTTTAAATAATTGAGCGAAAAAAAAAGGCAAAAGTTGAGAGAAATACCCATTTTCCTGACGAAAAAAATTTAGGACAACAAAAAAAAAACAAAACAATTCATCCGCGGTAGCTGAGTCATTGATGGCGCATTTCTCGTGGCAACTTCGGTATTAGATCTAGTCCAGATCTAATTCCGAATGAACTCAGATCTAATTCCGAATTTCGAGTTATTCGATCTAATTCCGAATGAAGTCAGATCTAATTCCGAATCGTTTACCTGAGCTTAAGTTTAACTTGACTATTCTGAATCTCTAAACCTAGTTTTTATAAATTTCCGATATCTAACGTTTCCAAATTATTGAAATTCGTAATTTCTGAACTTTAAAACGTTTTACTTTCAGAATTTCCTATATCCTAACTGCTGGATTTTCGGGATTTTTATTTGAAGATTTGAAAAAATCAGAAATTTGGAAGTTTAAGAATCAAGAAAGAAAGTAGGGAGCTCGGAATTTAGAAATTTTGAGATTCGCAAATTCGAAATTTTAAGATTTCGGTAGTTGGGAAATTGAGAAATTGAGAAAAGCAAATTTAGAATTTCGAAATAATTGTAAATTATATGATTCAAGAATGTAAAAAAAAGTGTTTAACAGTAAGTTGTATATATAGAAGTTCGATAGGAAATAGGTAAAAAATTTTCGGTTTCCGAAATTCCAAATTCGGTTTATCAGAAATTCAGTAATTACTGTTTTCAAAACTTCAAAAACTCAGAAAATTGTTAATTAGAAATTCGGAAAATAAACTAGTCGAAAATTCAGAAGATTGGCAATTTAATAATTTTTTACTTTCTTTGAATTATCTTTGTAGTTCCTTATTTTCATTTTTTGAAGTTCTGAGTTTTTGAGTTTTCGAATTTTGAAAAATCTGAAATCTAAAATACAAAATTCTGGTAATCAGAAACTCGGGAATTTCATCAGAATTTAAAAAGTTCAGAAAATCCTAAATTTGAAAGATTGGAGATTTGGTCTTCCATAGTTTCAGTAATTTGAAATTGAGAAATTGAGATGAATGGAATTGGGAAAATTGAAAACTAGGAATCTTCATAATTCTAATATTTGAATTTTTTTTGAAGTAAATGAATTTATGAGAAAGGTGCAATTAAATCAGAGATGTTAGGAAGTGAAAACAGTTTTGAACTCGGAAGACGAAAATTAGAAAAAGGAAGCAAAATTTCCTTTTTTTTGGAAATCGGAAGTCGGATGAAAATTTCAAATTTTGAAAAAAATTGGAATTTCAGAATTAGAGATTAGATTTCTCATATCTTCGAAAATACTATTGACTTCTAGGTTTGATCTTCTGGGTGTAGCTGAGTTTTTGTGTAATTCGATGTCCTAAAAAGTTTTCCTGAAGTCTCGCGAGACGACACACTGCTTCCAGAACACTTCCAAAACGAATTTTTGGATAACTATTCTAGTTATTAATTTTAACAACTGGACTCTTTCTGATAATATTACAGTAGTTTCAAAAAAAAATCATATCAATACTTCATTTTATTTCAGATCAGTTATCTTCCAAATTTCATCCATGCTGCCTCTTACTATCCTTTGGTTTTGTTGGTCCTCCTGCTGGAGTTGGAGTCGTTGTGGGAGTAACAGGAGCACATTGTGTTGTTGGTTTAGGTGGTTCATCTGGTTTCATGTAATACGGTTGGTTGCGAAGCCATTCCGATTCACAAATCGCTTTGTAAGTTGGACGATTCGGTGCATGTGGTTGGAGAATTTCAAGAATCAAAGCTTTCGATGATGTTGAAGCTGTACAGCTTTTTGGGAATCTTCAAAAAAAAAAATTAGAATCCGAATGTATAAATAAAACACCCTTACTTTATCTTGTGGGCCAACTGTCTTTCAATCATTTTCTGTGGATTACGGTCATCAAACGGCATCGATCCAGTCAGCATAATGTACAGGATTACTCCAGTACTCCAAACATCAACTGCATTTCCAGAATACTCCCTTCCTCTTAGAATTTCGGGTGCCACATAAGCCCTTGATCCACAGAAGGTGCCAGACTTTTCTCCAGGTTTTAAGATGCGAGAGAAACCAAAATCCCCAAGTTTTACATTTTCGTACTTGTCAAGAAAGATGTTTTCGCACTTGAGATCTCGATGCACAATGTTGTATGCTTGCAAATGCTGAAAGAATACTTTTTTGCTAATTTAGGATTACTAGATTTTAATTTTCACATTAAGGATTTTAAGATTTGCTCACCGTTAGAGCGGCAATGAATTGTCGAAACATGAACTTTGCTTCTTCCTCATTCATTGTTTTAATGTCCTTCATCTTACGCAATAGATCTCCTCCTGCGCAGAATTCCGTCACAAAAATGATATGGTCGGGAAAGGAGATCATCTCATATAAACGACAAATATTGTCGTGTTTCAGCAACTTGACTATCTCCTTTTCCCGAGGAAGAAATTTTTTAATGTAGTCATCTTTCTCGCGGGTTGGAGTGATGTTGATAACTTTGGCAGCAACTTCTATCTTTTTATCACCAAACGTTGCACGAGCTACACGAGAATACGAGCCACTTCCTGAACGAATTTCTAGTCCAAAACCCTATCTGTACGAATAAATGATTACCGAGTATTTTATCAAACTTAAGTTTGTATTCCTTTTCAAGTGTAGGCGCAAAAGCCTTGGTCTTCGGACTCAACTCTTCGGGTTCTTCCTGATTCTCAGAAACATCTGGAAAAGTTTTAAAAAATATTTTGTTCTGTTTTTTGGATGCTCAACCATACCAGTGTTTTCTTCTTTCACCATTTTGAACGACTCGCCAGAGAAATAAAAATCTAAGCAATCTCGAAGATTATGGAAGTTTTTAATAATTAATAAATATAATTGGCCCGAGTCACGCAACGAAGATTGTAATCTGAAAAGACTTTTCCAACTGCACAACCTTCACGCTGATCTAGATTATGTTCTATATAATTTCAGATATTTTTTTTGCTCAATATAAACACCCTGTATTTGAAATTTTGATTTAATTTGGAATTTTATTACTATCCAACGACCGATATAAATAGGTCAAGACATATTAATCATGCACCCATCTGCCTCCAGAAGATGTCCAATTTCTTATTCAGAATCGCCGGCGATTCTCCGCGTACTGTGGAGACCCTGCAAATTCCGGGGAAAAAAACGGTTTTTTTCGACTCCGCCCACTTTTCTCCGGAGTTTTTTTTCCCCGGAAATTTTTTTCTCCGGAATTTGCGGGGTCTCGTACTGTGACCATTGTGCGCGCAACGTCGCTCTGTTGAGACAATTCGAAATTCGCCGGCGCTCGCCGCATTTTTCCTATTTTCCAGGAAATTTCACTTCTTTTGTGTTTTTTAGTGTTCGTTAACGACTAAATAATTGAAAACAATTGCAGATGAGCTCTAAACCAAAAACCACTCGCAAGAATCAAAGACAAGACCCCCATCTTGACGTTTCCAAAGAGCTAGAGGTTATTATAGCGTCTCTCACTTTTATTGGCTTCTAACACAGTTTTTTTACAGGATTCTGTCCCTGGAAGAAGAAGAAGTACAAGATTGAGTGGAAAAGTTGTACCTACTGATGATAAAGTAAGTTTTTATATCGAGAAATGAACCTTCAAAATTGCACACTCAGAAAGTGTCAATTGATTCGAAAGTACGGAAAAACTCTACAAGAAAAGTTTTCAAGGAAGAAACACCCAGCTCTGATGAAGAAGATGTGAGTAAATTTCTTTTTCCTTTTTCATGATTCTTTTCAGAAGCCTGAAATTAACGTAACGTCTGATGTAAAAAGAAAGTTGTTGATGAGCCCAGGAACTGCGCTTGCAGAGCAAGTTGGAACGCTAGAAGTAAGATTCTCGAATTCTAGGTTATCCTAAAATGGGTTTGCAGATATCTTCTCAAAGTGGCGCCAAAACTCCGGACACGCGAAAGATGAAACCTACTAATTTGAAGAACAAGTACATGCAACAAAGAACTCCGGAAAAGAAATCAAGATCATTATCAATCTCAGAAAAAACACCCGAGAAACGAGCGAAAAAGAACGAATCTTCCGATTCTTCCGATTCAGATTGTGAAAGTAACGAACAGCTATGCACATCTTCGATTCAAGGAGCACTGAAAGCTAGAGAAAATGAATTTGAGTCACTCAAATCTTGGATTTTGGAAAGCAAATCAGGAAAAACGTCCTTGTCTATTTATGTCAGTGGTCAACCTGGAACTGGTAAAACTGCAACTACTACCAGAGTACTCGCACATCTGGGCGAATCGATTAAAAGCTGCATCGTGAACTGTGCTTCTACAAATACCAAGTCAGCATTATTTAAGACAATTTTCCAGTCGCTGGATTTGTCTGGAAAGCCTAACGTTGAAGTGTTTGAGGAACAGGTGAAAAAGTTCAAAGTTCCACTAGTATTGGTACTCGATGAAATTGATAATTTGGCAAACCGAAGAAACGAGGCCTTGTACGCTGCCTTTCAATGGCCAGTGACTTTGTCTTACAAAGTCATCATCCTTGGAATTGCAAACTCTATTGATCTAACGGAACGTCTTCTCCCAAAGCTCGAGCTTGGAAAACATCCTCTTAAACGACTCGTATTTGAACCATATACCAAGGACGATATTGTCGAAATTTTGAATGACAAGCTGAAGCAAGAAGAGGTGAGTGCAGTTCGTATTTTTCTCCAAGTTGTTGGTTTGTTTATGATAATATAAAATACGTCATTCCTGTAATTATCATCACTATTATTTTCAGGCCGTCGTTGATGCGAAGGCTATCGAACTAACAGCCAGGAAAGTTTCAGCAATGAGTGGAGATCTTCGAACTGCCCTTCATATCTTCAAGCAACAGAAAAGTCGTATGATGCCTATGAATCCAGACTCCTCCGAACCACCGAAAACACCAGTTAATGGGTGTCGGGATGTTCTCAGTATCATGAATAACGTCTACTCCTCACCATTGGCTAGAGCTCATCTTCCACTACAACCACGAATCCTGCTGGCCGTATCACTGGCACTCTCCACCAGCAAGAAGAGCAAGTTTGATCGAAATTCACTGATTCGTGCATATTACAAAGCTTGCGAAGCATGTCGGTGGCCGTCTCTGGAGGACGATGATCTTTATTCAGCTTTCCAAACACTCGAGTCACAATCGTTTATTCGTCAGATAAACGGTGGAAAACTGGTCCTTCAAGTTGACGTTCCTACAGCTAAGTCAGCGATTAGTGACAATGCCATGCTCGATCAGATCGGTCTCCTTCAACTATAATCATTTTACTTTGTATAATCTATCACATTCATATTCTGTCTTCATCTGTTAAGTTTTCTCCTTCTTGCTCTCAGTTTTTACACCTGCTCACTTTTCCGGGTTTATATTTATTGTAATTATTTTTGTCTTATGAATATCAATATTTTTATCGTTCAGTCGGGGAATTTATTTCTAGAGTGGTTTTATCCGAATACGTATTATCTTTTGTTTCTTTAAATTGTTTCCTTACTAAAAAGCTAAACTATTCCAGATGCGCCCATTGACCGAGGACGAAACATCTCTTGTTTTCGCTAAACTGGCATCATTCATCGGAGACAATGTGTCGATGCTCATCGACAGAAATGACGGAGATTATTGTTTCAGAAATCACAAGGTAAAATAAAATTATTAATCACAAAATAGAGATTTGAAGACTTGTGTGTGTCTTCTAGATTCCCTAAATTTAGCTTTTCAACTGTTATTTCTTATAGGAGCGTGTCTACTACTGCTCAGAGAACTTGATGCGTCAGGCTGCCTGCATCTCCCGTGAACCACTCCTTTCGTTCGGAAGCTGCCTTGGAAAGTTCACCAAGTCGAAAAAATTCCATCTCCAAATCACAGCACTTGATTATCTGGCACCATATGCCAAATTCAAAGTCTGGCTCAAACCAAACGCTGAGCAGCAATTCCTTTACGGCAACAACATTCTCAAATCCGGAATCGCCAGAATGACCGACGGCACTCCAACTCATGCTGGTATCGTCGTATACTCGATGACTGATGTTCCTTTGGGGTAAAATCTTATTGATGAATCGCTCACGTATTCTGGTAATTTTTTCAGATTTGGAGTTTCGGCTAAAGGCACTGCAGACAGTAAACGTGCTGACCCAACTGCACTTGTCGTTCTTCATCAGTGTGATCTTGGAGAGTATCTCAGAAACGAGAGTCATCTCAACTAACATAATCTCATTTTTCATTGTTGTTTTTTTGTTGATTTTTTTTGTTAATCTGTTTCCCACATTTTCGAACATAGAGTTGTTCTCCAAAAAGCCATTTTTATTGAATAAAGAATTTGAACAAGTTACGGCTTATAGGACGAGTTAGCTGTGGTAATATATGCAGCAGCCTTATAGGTGCATCATCACCGTTGGATCGGAAAAATTTAAGAAGTGAAATCATAGAAGGGAAGCGATCCGCAACGGCTTCGGCTCGAGATTGAGACATTCCAGGGCACACCATTAATTGTCGGATCCATGCATCTTTAACAGTTTCAGCCTTTTTCTTTTGGAGAAGACTTTGAAGTTGATTGAACGGAACGCCCGAAATTTCCTCAACAGCTGCTTTGTTCATTAGACGAATAGTGAGTTCTTTGAGAAAGGCAGCAGTATCACGAGTATCAGCACATCTTTGAATTAAGTAACCTCCATTAGACAGTGTTGAAGCCACTGCCTGAAAAATACATTTTTATTTGGGTTAAAATTTCCTAAAATAATTACCTGTTCGCAAGCTACATCTCCTTTATTGTGTGCTTCAATCAAATAAACACGGTTCTTCATTGGTGCCATTCTCAATCTAGCTTTCTGTTCATCATATCTCCCTCCTCGAATACTTGACTGCAAATCATCCCACGTTTTTCTTTCCACGACCCAATCCATCACAATCTCTGATCCATCGATTTTCCGGCATACCCATATGTAATCACCAACAGAAAGAGATCGAATGTCAACACGAATTTCAGTTTGTTTCACAAGATGCTCGATAACAGACTTCAAACGGGGATTGTTACGATGCTCCCGGTTATCTGCAATCAGGTATACCTGAAAAACGTTCAAGTTCTCGTTAATATTCATTTGTAGCAATATCTTACGGTTGGTTGCTCATATGGCTTACAAGTCAGAATACGAAACGATAATGGTTCCGAGGAAGAAGACGATGTAGGCAAAGTGTTTGAAGAAGATGAGATATCACTCCTCATTCGTTGCAATAAAATTGGAGGACGAGCTATCAATGGCTGACTTTTGGTTTTCGAGATATTTTTGGACGATGTCGTCTTCCGAATATTGCCGTCCTCATCAGTAGACACAAACTCATCGTCGTTGATAACTTTAGCAGATATTGACTTTTGAAGTTTTTCTTGACGTTTTGCATCTTTCATCCGTTCGGTATTCGATTTTCGACCATTAATAAATCTTTTACAGTCTTCCGAGGTGAATTTTTTGATGGTTTTGAGGTTCGGCTCCTGTCCATTGTTTTCTTGGCAAGCAACACTCCACGTCTCTTCTAATTTCAATGCAATATTCTCTCCGATTCCTATAGAAAAATGAAGACTGTTAGATCAGTCTTATTAGATTCCTAAATACCTTGCACATTTTTCAAGTCGACAATATTCCGAATTTCAAATGGACACTTTTTCAAATTTTCGTGAGCCTTGTGAAGAACATATTTCAGTTTCCGATCTTCTTGCTCTTGGTGTTGTTGTTTTAACACTCTGAAACATTGTTGTAAACAATGGAACAGTATTTATCAGAATTACTTTTCGAAGAATACGTTTTTCGAGTGTTCGATCTTCACCGTAACCCTTTTGGACATCTGAAACAAGAATTTTTCCCAGAACTCTGTGAATCTTAAAATAAGGACGAAGCTGAAGAATCTGAAACCTTCTGAAATGCAAACAATTTGTGTATAATTTCTTATTATCAAATTAAAAAATTAGTTTTGAACAAAGAATTAAAGATAATAGGAAACAACAATATAAGTATAAGCTCGAAATACAAAACTCGGCTTGTAAAATTTGAGAATATAACAGGTAGAACGGGTTTTGGCAGCAATTGATAAAAACCTAAAAATTTAGAAGAATGCAATGAATTCAGACAAGAGACAATGACAATTCGTTTCGAAGTTGGGGAACCCGTGCACTGAAACTCAGTGGAGAAATCGGTTTGAGTTGAGAGTGGAGATCATTGGAAGATGTGGGTAATTTAAGTAGATGGCAATTGAGAAAAGAGAGATGATAGAAGATGTGATATGTGAATAATGTCGATATGACTATCGACCACTGTAGCCTTTCCAGAGATCATTAGACTCCAGCTTACGATCAATTAGCGATTTTGTGTAGTTTCTGACCTGAAATATAAAATATGAACACTAATGCTTGAAAATTCAAAAATTATACCTTTTTATCTGTGTTTTCAGAGAATTGAAAGTCGAATTTATGCTGAGAACTTTCTCGTTTGAACATTTCCTTAGCAATCAATTTGATCAGCCATGTAGTTTTATCGCTAGTAGCTTCTTGTGAATATTGTAGGCGTGAATGGGATCTAACTTCCGAGCGAATAGAACGCTCTAGTTCTTGTTTGAACTCGCGAATACGACGTTCACTAGCCATACTTTCCCTACACGAATCCTTGTTGTTATGATCACGAGAACGGGAATCCTCTCGGCGATCTCGCTCCCGATCATACTCACGGTCGCGATGAGGCTTTGGAGACACAGATGATTTTTCCGTTGTAGATCGTTTCTGGCGATCCTTGGTTTCGCCTTCATTATCTTCGAGCTCTTGCTTAAATTCCATTTGAACTGGTTCTAGTGAGTCAACTTTAGATTCTGCCTTCAGTGCTTTTTCTCGTTGGCGTTGCTCTTCTGCAACTTGTGCCATGACAGGGCATACATATCCTTCTGGCTCTAGAAGACCTTGTTCGGCAGTCGGTAGATGCCATTGAGTCTCTTTGGTGACTTTGTTATAGTAGTAGGTCTGACCATCTGGATCCTTGGCAGTCGCCCATACATACTTCATGTTTTGTATTTTGCGAGCTGTATCAACGTCCTCCTGTCGGCGACGTTCTGCCTCCATTCTTTCTGCCGCTGCGTTTTCTTCACGTCGTTGTTGAATTAAGCCTTTGAGGAGTTCAACTTCTTCTTCAACACTTTGCAGACGGCTACTGTAAATTAAATAATGAAAATATATCTAACCATCTCAAACTCACCAAAGTTGTTCGAGAGTGGCTTTGTCGTAAAGAATGTAGAGAGAATCTTTGTTTGGCAAAGTTTCTATCGCCAGAGGAACTTGTGGAACGGAATATGGATGTGGGTAATAAGCGGGATTTTGATGATAGGCGTTATATGGAACTCCTGTATTGACATCATATAAACCTGCTGAAATTGTTTTTATTGATCAGTGTAGACGTTCTTTTCTTACCATAATGCTCAAAGCCTGGCTGCAATGGATAGGAGGGATGTCTGGGGGCATATTCTGAGACAGATGGAGTATCCATTTCTTCTTTGACTGCTACGCTGCGGGCACCATCCCTATCGTTTTTAACAGAATCTTTCGACTTGTCCTCGGAACTAGCGACCCGTCTATCGGCAACCGGAGAACGGTTTCTGTGATTATCACGATCATCCACTTTTCTTCTCTTATAATTCTGCGGAGAGATGCTTCTTGAGCGACTTCTTGATCTACGAGCACCGCGTCTGCGATCACGATACGTATCCTTGTTTTGACGACGTGTTAGGTAGTTCTCCTTGTAATTATTGCCATGATAGCCAGTAAAGCGGTATTGATGAACATCGTTGCCATTGTTGAAGAAACGGGGATGAGATTCCTGATCGTTGTTATAGTAGGAAGTGTTGTAATGATGACGATGGCGATTGTAGACCGGAGAAGAATTTCGATTCTGACTAGTTTCCACCAATTGCGACGAAGAAGACGATGCTTCCGCATTCCGAGAAGCATTTCTTTCAACCGTTGGCTTCTTTTTGGGAATTCTAAAGCTTACTGAGCGATAGAACCAGTGATGATTCAGTCGGTAGGCCATTTCTTTCGCTCTGTTGAAGTTGTCCACGATTTCTTTCTGCAAGTTATTCATTAAAATATTTACATCGGGCAATCCAATCCACTTTTCATATACTGTGAAAGCTCTAATACAACGCCACTCTAGGAAGATGATTCGAGAGTTTTGGAAAACACAGATTTTTGCTTGATTTACATCATAACAAAAAAGGAAATCAGCCTGTGAATCATTCGAAAACTGTTTTGGCTACTTTGAATGAGCTTGTAGCCAAACGCCATGGTGGTGTATTAGAGTTTCTTTTCAGTATAAAAAACGCAACTTACTTCAGCTTCTTCTGCAACATTTTTGTAATCCTTTTCAGGAGCTTCAGTGCATGCTACCAATGCATTCATCACTGCATGAATGTTGACCCAAGGACCTGGAGTCGACTCCGACCAGCGAGTTACTACTTCCAATAAGAGACTATCCGATCTTGCACATGACAAGAAAGCATCACCATGGAGAGTTTGTAGTATCACTTGGACCAGTTGGAGATTTGGTAACGTATAGTCATCCGCCTCAAGCCATTCGCCCATTAGTGAAGCCATCCCCTCCTTGGCGTAGAAAGTTTGGAGAGCTAGATTCGTGTCAGTAGAAAATATATCTTTGAGGAGCTGCTCACGTTGTGCATGGTCAGTCATTCTTGTCTGTAAAGTAATAAATATCAACCATCATTTAACAGAAACTTACAGCTATGGTAATAACTTTTCTTGCATGTTTCTTTGTTCTCAGATTCAAATCTTCAAGCATTTCGTTTATCAGTTCCGTTCTTTGATATGAATCCAGGTCAGCCAGCTCTTCTAGTTTTTCTTCCTGGTCTTCGTCCATCGTGATGTGGCTCGTAGTGATGACATCGTCATCGTCTTCGTCGCTTGATGAGCATTCTTCCGGCTTCTCTCCTATCCACCCTGTACACGAAGGAGCACCACACAGACACTGCTGAGCGTCTCGTCCATAGTTCACGAATTGGTAGTCAAAAGTGATTTCTTCACCTGATTTGATGAACTTTTTAGCGAAAAAACCGATTCGGCTGATGTCACCAGGCGTTTTCGGAACAGACCATTTTTCACAAACGGCATTCGGGTCACAACTATGATTCACGAAGCGAGAAGCATTGCCGTAGACCGTTGCATCAATCGTATAAATTCCCGTGTCGCACAGATAGTGATGTTTGTGTTTTTTGTCAGCCGCATACTTGAGTTTTCGTTTTTCGTAATCATCGCGTTCGACTACTTCTCCGATATATTCAATGATAAATCGGCCTTTCTTAATATCTTTCAGTGCTCTCAATCCGCATCCTTTAGCTGTTCCAGTGTGGTAGGCTTCTACTGATGCGATTTTCTTTTTTGCGAATCGCTGATTTTTGCACTTGGCTGTACACGAAGAAGGGCATTCTGTCATCATTGCTCGATTAACGCATGTATTGTCGGAACATGTTCCACCAGTCCGTCCACATTCACACAACAGAGATTCGGTTCTTTTTTTGTTAGCGCTTCTTGTAAGGTATTTGCATTCTGTGATCAATTCAAACTCTGGAATCTTCATTTCTTCTTCCTTCAGCCGTTTTTCCTCGTCCTTGATCTTCTTTTCCTCCAATTTCTTGAGCTCTTCCTCTTTCTTCTGTTTTTCTTCAATCTCTCGTTGCTTTCTCTCTGCTTCTTCATTTTTTCTTTTCTCCTCTCTCAGCTTCTGAATCCTTTCCTCTTCGCGTTCACGATCATGTCTCCTGGTGACTTCACGTTCTCTTTCGCGAGCTCTCCTCTCATCATCTTCTCGTTGTCTTACTCTTGATGATTGCTCATTTCGATCTGACTCACTTCTTCTATCCATATCGAACTTTCTCTCCGAATCATTTTTTCTCTCTTGATCACTTTTCTTCTCAAAATCGTTCTTCCTGTCAGAGTCATATTTTCTGTCATAATCGTTTTTCCTGTACTTTCGATCTCGTTCATCCCTTCTGCGCTCGTAATCATCTCTTTCTTCTTTATACCTGCCTTCTTCTCTTCTCTCTTCTCCTTTATGCCTCCCTTCTTCATGACGACGTCGCTCTATATCTTGTGCAACTTTTTCGGCTCTTTTTTTCTGGAAGAACAATTAAGTTTTTTCGTTGTAATAATTTTGTTTTACTAATGTTTGTTTTTTTTTGAAAACGAAAATTTCTATGGTAACCAAGAAGCTTACCGCTGCTTGGAGCTCCGTTTCTGAGTGTTTACTAGAAGTTGTGACAGAAGAACTCGGCTTTGGAGAAGAAATCTCAACTTGAACTGAATCAACCTGAAAAATGGAAGTTTATTATTGTTACTTTTTTTGCGAAACTAGACAGAGATTTATTGAAATAAAAAAAACGAACTTCTTCTGGTATCACCGGCTTCGTCGTTGATGCGTTATTGAAGAAAGATAATTTTGGGAGTTCGACCATTTGTGGGGGTGGTAAAACATTGGATGTCGCAGTTCCAAAGTTCGAGCTACGTTTCTGAGGAGAAGCAAGAGACTCGTTGACTGCAGAAGGTTCTGCTGTCGCTGACACGTACGGTGCTGAAGATGTAGAAGGTTGTTCCAAAGCAGACGCCTTTAGTAGCGGATTCATAGGGGTTTTTTTGAAAGTCATTTTGAAAGCTACAGAAGCTCCATTTTCGTTCGATTTTGGACCTGGTTCCGGTGGCACAGGATTTGGAGATGTCATAGTATCGCTGGGAAAACTCGAGAATGCTGGGTGTAAGAAGTGTATCTTGGGCCGCTGCATACCAGGAGAACCCATGGTATTCGATTTTTCATTTCTTTCATCGCTTCTGAAAACGTTGTAATACGGTGTGACTTCAAAAAGGAATAAAAAACTTTAGCTACCGATCCCATGGCGGCTTCTCAATTGGTGTAGCTGAGCATGGCTGCTCAACGTCTACATGTATCTCTTTTATTGCATTTTTTGGAGGGGTGGATGATGGTAAGGGTATGGAAGATGACGAGTCGTCAGGCAAATTATCACCTTCTTCTGCTACACTATTTTCACCTTCACTCTCTGAGTCAGCTATATCCATGCACTCTGAATCGTCCGTTACTGGTGCCTGGTGTAAACTATGCCCTGAAGACACTGTTGATGCCGAATTTATCTCAGATTTTGATAGAAACGCTGCAGAAGATGTAGAAGAACTTGGTTCCAGCTCTATTGAGGCTGATGAATATAGATCTTGAGCTATAGGAATCGTAGAAGGCTGCAAAGTTAAACAGTATGGAGCTCTAGAGTTTCTAAATTACCTGAGGGTCGTCTGGATGCAAAGGAGAAACAGGATCATCGGTATTTGAGATCTTAACATCAAATTGAGAGTTGTCTGTACTAGCTGTCGCTTGCTTATCATCTATTTCTTCTTCGTCTTCCTTCTCTTCAGCTTTTAACCTATTAATCGATACCCGCTTGGAGGAAGAGGAGTAAGACGATGAATTCAATTCTGCCTCTTCCGACGAAGTTTTTCTTCGAAAAATCGGCTTGGGTGATGGAAAATCATCCACCTTACATTTTTCTTCCTTTGAAGAAGAAGCTATCCCATTTATTAATAACATATCGTCGTCCTGAAATTTTTGAAATTGCGTTCTCTGCTTTTCATAGTTTCATACCTGGCTTTTACATCCATTGCGAAGCTTCGGTTCTCTAACTTTATCGTCGGAATTATGTTGAGCTTTTCCTGCGGCACTCAAAGTGCTAGAATTACTCGGAGTCGATGTTTCTGCAAAACTGTGATAACTTCGAAAGCTTTCACAGATTCTTTACCGGATTTAATTTTTGGCGGACGTCCTCGCTTTCTATTTTTCGTCGGTGTCTGCGGTGCAGATGGCATCGCTTTATTCTCTTTCACTGCGCCATCTTGTGCAGCCGCTGCTGTTTTCCTTCTTGTTTGGACCATTTCTATTCTGAAACAACAAAGGAGTGTTACACAAAAGTTTGAAATTTGATGGAACAATTCGATCGATGTCATACGAAAAAGTTATAAAAATGGGAAGCCGGTTGAAAAGTTGATTAATAACCCCCACTCACTGGAGATTTTTTTTTAATTTTCTGAAAGTTTGTCGAGCTTGAGCATTTGTCCTCGAGGAGTACACATATTTCGCTTCGAAGCCAGTAATCGACTACTACCAATGTCCCTTTAATCTTATGGTAGTGACAATAGGTTTGACAAGAACTCCGAATGCGGCAATTATTAAAAATTGTCTCGGAGGAATGCCCGAAAACAATGGTTTAATTTTGCACTGTGCTGATTGGAAGCTAATCAGCTATTTTTTTTTAAGTCTGCTCGTCAAATTCTCCAGGTATTTGTTACCGATAGTAACGTTTCAGGTTCGAAATGTTGAGCCGGATGGGGTTGTTTAACCTTTTTTAGGGTCTTCTGCTTGTTTTTGACAGTTTCTTTGATTTTTACAGCATCTTAAAGTGACCTTTTAAATAAATTCTCACCCTGTTTGAGAAAATATCATCGTATGCTGTACCACTTCCGCTCACTCACAGAAAATCGATGATAAAGTAGAATGAGAAGGCAAAAGAGAATGAAAAATGGGTACCTTCTTTTTCTTCTTCTCTTTGTCGTCTATTCGTCCCTGATGCTGTCGGGTGGGGCAGTGGTGGTGTGTGTGCGTGTGTGCGTGTGAACGATGCCTTGATGATGAAGGCTAGAAGACGTCGAGACAACGAAATGCTCTCAAAGCCAGAATGTGCCTATATCGAATTGAAAATGTGTTGCCTATTCGCCTCTCACAGATCTCTTGCTAGAGCGTGAAGGAGACGCAGGCACCGCGAAGAGGAAAGAAACGATGGGTTGTGTGACGGCGGCGGGCAATGTAGGAGAAAGGACGGCTGTGGCGGTAGAACGTGACTGGCAAAGAATGTAAAAGCACAAAAAAGTGGGAGACGCAGATATAATAGAGAACAAGGGGGTCTGCGACTGCACATGCCACCCCAAGAGGGAGATGAATTCTTTATGTGTACGCGGCGCCGTGTTCAAATTTCAAAATGGGAAACACAGAGTCTTAATAACAAGAGTTTTCTTCATTTTTTAGGTTTATATTTAGGCCATTATTGAAAAGAATGAAACAAAACATTAGAAAAATGAAATCTTCATATTTGTGATCATCATCATTTTCCGCGAGGTTGTGTTCGGCTCAAAGCAGCTCGTGGAGCGACTTCGGCATTGGCTGCAATTGTGGATCCTTCGGTGCTTAAGGACGTGAGAAGCGCTTTTTCAGCAGTCATCATTTTCGAAGTGCAAGAAACCACCTCCATGTCTTTTCCATTCACTTGCAAAACCATATTAGTGCCGAGATCTTGGTTCCAAGATGCGGTATATAGCGAATTATTGATCTGAGAAAATTGGTTGTATGCTCATAGGCGTTCTATTTTATTTTTATTGCATAGTTAATCTCACTTACTTGTAGGATCGGTGTGTCTGTATCAGATAATCTCAGCGTGATGAGATCTCGCTCGACAGCATCTCGTACTATGTCAGCATCAAGAATTCCGTTCACTGTTACAACCATGGTCACCTCTTCCCATTCATCATCATGGCTTCCGTTGACTACTTCATCTTCCTGGTTCTTTGCTGATGTATTTCCACTTTCATCGAAGTCTTGATTTTGCTCCATTAAGTCTTCATAGAGTACGTCCTCACTAGTGTCGCCTGGCTCTGATGACATTTTAGCGGTCTGTTTGCAAGACATTTAGAAAAAAAACATCTGGTTAAAATTAAAATATTATGGTGAAGCAGGAATGATAACCTGAATCAAGAGAAAATAACGCATAGATCCAAAAATTTATATTCTCATTCAAACATAAATATCACATAAATACAAATAAACCATACTTGCAAGAACCCATGTTAATAAGTTTTTTTAGATTACTAAAAGGCGTTTTGAAGGAGTTTAACAATTCGAGGATAGTTTTCTACATAATGTTGTTGACCGCGCGAGACAACGGAAGTATTGTACGATGTGACAAGTCCGTTCAGGAAGGCGAGAACTTCTAGCTCCGAATTTTCTTCATACCACTTCACATATTCTTCCGGCTGAAAAATAAAATGTTTATATTATATGTGATACAAAAGTCACTTACGGTCCATTTGACGGATTGATTCGGAAGTGGAAGCTCAGAGGGGCTATCAGACACCAAGAGCTGGATGAAGATTGACTTTTTCACTCCCTCTACTCTCAACATCGTTTCTACATCTGATTCAAATAAGTGCAATAAACGAGAAGTATCACCATATTTAGACGGCCATTCCATCGAACGGACCGCTTCAAGTAATCTGAAAAAAAAAACATGTTATTAAGTATGCTTTTATAAGAAATAAATATTTTAAACCGGAGAAGCAACAGGGGGCTCGTCTTTTACTGACCTGGAAAAATCTATAATAATAAGCTTCCGTTCATCAGAATCGTGAGATCGTACAAGTGTAGCGTTGAGAATGAATGAGTCTATGACATAATCAGCGATCTGTGAAAGAATATGCGAATGACAAACTGCCCGGGAAACATGGGCCATGTGCATGTCAATGTGGTTGATATAAGTGAGTAACTCTTGCATGTATGGAGCAATAGATTTTGTCATTCCGCGGGTTTCAACATGCATTCTTGCTACAATGTCACGAATCGAAGTTTTCACTCCAGTCACAATTGCATCTAGAGTTTCTTTTTGTACGGCTGCTACACTATTCGATTCAGATGGCCAGCGTTTCATGATTCCATCAGCGGTCTGGATCAATCGGTAGTTGATCATCTGATTCGCAGTTAGGCGATCGCCTAAACCATTAAAATAAATTAAATATCAATTTATCAAGCATACCCAATAATAAATCATCCCTCTGGAGATGGAGGTTTGCTTCCAGCTTCTTAGCAATGATCTCAATACATTTTTCAATGTTCGCACTCATTTTCAACCTCAAATCCGCATCCCAATCCACTTTTCTCATTTCCTCTTCCATCGCAGAATTGATTAGATCGACGAAAGCATTGGCATGTGACGTTGAGAAGTCGTTTTCTTCCACTAAATTGTGAAGACGAGACAATGAATGTGATAGAAGTGAGTTCTTGAGTGGACGAAGCGAGTCGTTCAAAGCGGTTGAATTGTCTCCTTTCGCATTGAAAACTCTTCCAAGCTGTTGAACAAATCTCAAAGCATACGGAGTGTCTGAAGGAACTCTACTTCGAATGATCCTGGCCAGTTTTTCCGAAAACTTCTTCTTATACGTATCTCCTAGCATTGATGCCTGTTCCAAATGAGATTGTATAGCAGCACACACGATCGGAAGATTTTTATTTGCCACTTCTGGCGCTGTGTTCGACAGTTCCATCAGTTTTTTGTCCAATTCGACCACAGATGATGACAGTAATACTTCAAGCTCTAGATCCAAGTAGTTTAGTGTACGAAGAGCGCGACGAGCCGAGACAACCATAGAACTGTTTAACGATGCCAATCCTCTCTTCAGTTCGTCTGCTCCACCTCGACGAATTTCATTTTCAGCAACTTTCAACTTTGTATCAATCATATTCTTCAGCCATCCAATTTTTCGAATATTCTTGTTGTCATTGAGAATTTCTTTGATTTCTGCAGTTATTTCCGCCTTTTTCACCAAATCACTTCGTTTTTCCAAAGATTCGAATAGCTCTTCACACCGCTGAGCGTCGGCTGCAACATTCCTTTTCATCATTGTTGCTTCTAGCTGTTTAGTTTGTTCTCGCAGTTTTAGTGTCAGATCCTCACATACAGTCGCTAGACGATTTGATTCACTTGTCACTGAAGTCATTCTCATTTGAACTGAGTGCAGCGTGTCTTCAAGAGATTGAAGTGCCGGAACTTGTTCTAATAAACGAGGAAGATTCGTTTCGACTCCTTTACGTAGCTGTTTATCGAGAGTTTCATGGAGGCCAGCAACTTTTCTGTTCAGTGAATCGGCAATAGAAGTATCACATTCGGCGACCCTGCAATCAGAAAAAAAATCATAGTGAACAGATCCTAATTGTTCAAGCTCACTTTTTCAAGTAGTCACTGACATCGTTTTTCCCCCAAAGAAAATCATCGAGTTGGTCATCAACTCTTCCTGCCATTCTGAAAAAGGAATTGGAGAAGAGATGGTTAACTGGCATAAGTATCAACAAGCAGAATTCGAAGCTGCTAAATAATCTTCTAAATGCTTTTTAACTTATAATTGAATTTGGAAGAATCTTTATTAAAGTTTTAACAACAACAAAAATGGCAAACGATGTATTCATGACCATAACAATCTAAAGCTCCTAATCTAATAAACAATTTAACATTTCTAGATTTTTTCAGCAGATTTTTTCAGATTATGCTTCTCGACGGCTACGTGCTCTTCCAAATCCGAAATGATTCCTCTGGCAATGGTAGTCTTACTGCTTCCTTCTCTTAATGTGAATGGCATTCCTTTTCTTAATGGCATGTCTTTCATCAAAAGTACAGTAGCAGAAGTGTGTTCACCGGGCATCAGTAGTTCGTTGTTCATATCAAACCTTCCAACCTGATCCCAGGTGCTGCAGTACATCTTATCAGTGAACCCTGTACGGATACCAATCTTCCGTCCATTCTCAGCTTCAGAGAGTAAATAGAGCTCTACTTTCACTCGATTCGTAATGGTAATAGCTCCTGGGTGTCCAGCCCACATTCCTCGTTTGACAGTTTCAGCTTTGACTCCTCGACACAATACTCCACAATGTTCACCAGCACGAACTTCTTTCACACTTTTACCAAACACATGAATATCAGATGCAGTGGTTTGAAGTGTTTGACCGTCTCCTTTGATTTCGACTTTATCTCCTTTTTTCAGAATACCTCTCTCCAGTGTTCCGACAACCACAGTTCCTGAAATATAATCAGAGTCAGATCTACAAATTTAGTTTATGGGGTTATGCATGATTTGTTTTTTAAATACAAAAAAATACGAAAAAATACATGAAATACATTTTTTCGCATGCATGCATTAATTATTTGTGTTTAAAAATTCCAAAGAAATACATTTTTTATGTCATGAATAACCCCATTAGTTTAGTTTTCTTAAATTGGACAAAAAAATAGTATTGATCTCGAGATTTAAATTGAATGTTTCTTTTAATTCTTACCTCTACCAGTGATTGCAGTTTTTGAGCCGATCGGCATCACAAATGTGTCTTTATCGTTTCTATTAGGTTCTGGAAGAGAGTCCAGCGCTTCCAAAAGTCGTTCGATGCAAGAAATATCTTGTCCTTCTAGCGCGGCTAGAGCAGATCCGCGAATCACTGGCGTTGCATCTCCGTCAAAACCATGAATAGTCAGTAGTTCTCTTGCTTCGATTTCAACCAAATCTAACACATCTTCCTCCACTAAATCAGCTTTGTTGATAAAGATCACCATATTTTTGACTCCAACTTGTTTCGCAAGAATCAGATGCTCTTTCGTTTGCTCCATCACTCCGTCAGTGGCAGCAATTACAAGAACAGCAACATCCATTTGAGATGTTCCGCAAATCATATTTTTGATAAAGTCCGAGTGTCCTGGACAATCTGTATGTGAGTAACGGCGAGCGGGGCTTTCGTACCCAATATGAGCTACGTTGATTGTGATTCCCCGTTTCTTCTCTTCTTTTCCTTTATCGATTTCATCGAACTTGATATGCTTTGCAAATCCTGAAATGTGATTCTGAAGATACGAGGAATAAAATGAAGCCGCTAGTCTGAACTTTGAATAGTGCAGATTTCATTCCGAAAGTTCATACTAAAGACTTACTGTGGTTCGCTAGACAGTGCGATGATAAACATACCTTTTTTCGCCTGGACTCTTGTGATAGCCGAAGTCAATGTTGTTTTACCATGATCGATGTGCCCAATAGTGCCGACATTAACGTTTATTTTCGGACTGGTTGAAGCTGTTGCGAGGAATGCAGTGGAATTCCAAATTAATGGATGACGTAACGTTGACGATGAGCATCGATTGAAAAGCAGAGACTTTGTGAAAGAAAATATCACAGAAGATGTCATTTTCTAAAAATTTACAAATAAAGAGATGAATCAACAAAAAATTTCGAACACAGAAAATACATTTTTCGGCATGCATGAATCGGTTGAAAAAAAGACATGTTTATCTCATCAATAATCCTACATCTTCTAAATAGCCAACGGTTTCTGTTTTTTTTTTAATTCTAGACAAATAAAGTATTCAAACTTGTTTATTCGAATCGCGAGCGAGATTTTCATACAAAAATTGAACAATCTTCGTGGCAAGAGCCGATTGTCCGCGAGGAGTACACGGCCGAACGGCCTAGAAAAACCGCAAAAAACTAGAAGAATTTTCCCTCATCATGTTTTGATTGGTCTGCTGAGCAGCTTCAACTATGGCCAATGAAAACAATGCAGCCGAATCGATAGCCAGGAAACTCGCACAAGTAATTTATCTATTTATGTAACAAACAAGTTAGAGAGCTTGAAATTACAGGAAGAAGAATGGTTACTCAACTTCGAGAAAAATATCACAAAAAGTGGACAGATCAGACAAGGAATCGAACAAGTAGTGGAAAAGTTTGACCAAAGGCTGGGCTTACTTGAGAAAAATGTTCTCCCCATGCATATTTCTAACGGAAAGCTTCAAAAAAAGCAGCATAGTTAGTCTTTTGTAACTCTTTCAGAATTTTTGGCTTTTTTGAAATTTCAGATATTCAACGTCTGATCAATACTATTGATGCTACCCTTCAATTTTACGGGAAAACCAGCACAGTCGAAACCGCAATAAACACTGGAAACCCAACGGCCGAGCTAGATTCTTATTTGGAAAATATGGAAAGTCTTCAACAAGCGATTATATTTTTCGAAACACATCCGAACTATCGAAGTCAGACCGAAAATATGAGAATAACACTGGATACTGGGTACACTGTTTTAGAGAAGGCATATAAATCGTTTCTGCTCAAACATAGTCTCACTCTGGATCCAACACCATTTATCAAAAGTGAACTGTCTCCTCGATTGAACGAAATCAAAATTCTATCTGACGAAGAACCTATCATCAAAATTGGTGTTTGGCTTTTGAAACAGCCTCGAATTCCGACTCACTTCTTAAGCTACTATTCCGAAATTCGTGGAGCTCAAATTTTGAAAAATATAAAGAATATTGCTGAAGCACAGAAAACGATGCAGTTAGCAACTCGAAGCAAATTGTGAGAATGTTCCCGGTGTTCATTCTGAATATATGTAATTTTCAGGTCTACCGTACGAAAGCCAACACAGCGTCCAGAAAAACTCGATGGTCTAGCTGATGTGGACTCATGCCATGTAATGTGCTCAGCATTGCTCAGCTTATTAGAGTTGGAAGAAAAGTTGATGGTCAGGGCCATTCCAGATACCTCGAAAAGAGCTCAAGTTTTCCGCGAGCTTGTATCAAGACCTCTGGCATATGTGGTTCTTCAAACACAAAAAGTAGTGAACGAGAAAGACATTGGAATCATTCCTCTACTTCCCCTGCTTCACCTTCTGTCCCAGAATTTGGCTAGGTTCCATAATTTGGCGGCGGTAAGTGAAGTAAAATGTTGTTGAATTAAAAACTTTGTTTTCAGAACAGCATTGGAGATGTTCAGTTTGATTCCCTCATGCGTCAGTTACAAGTGAAATGTTCTTCATATGTGAATGAAGTTGTAGAACATTTGAATGAGGACACTACGAAGTTTGTGCCTCCTGATGGAAATGTTCACCCAACCACCGCTTCAGTAATAAAAGTGATAATCGGTTCAATTTTAAACAATATCTTTTTCAGACACTCAACTTCCTTTCGAGTTTAACAGCTCATCGAGTTACGGTAACACAACATATACTCGCATTGACTGCTCCACAAGGGACCAACACAAACCTTCTGCTTCCAAAACTTTTTGCTCGGATACTCTCTGCTCTGGGTAGTATGCTCAAGAAGAAAGCAAATCTTTATGATGACCCTACTCTGGCTACTATTTTCCTACTTAACAATTACAACTACATTGCGAAAACTCTGGCTGATGAGAAAGATGGCCTTCTACCAGCTATTACAGAAATGAATTCGAATATTCTGTCTTTTTATCACGAAGAGATTTCTACATGTACCAATGAATATCTGAAGAGCTGGAATGGAATTGCATCTGTTTTGAAATCGACGGACAGGATAGGAGAAGACAAGCAAATGGCAAAGCAAATTATGAGTGTGAGTATCATTCTTGGAAAGAAGCATTTCACTCCTCACTAAAACGAAGGCATTCACATATCCATTTTCAGACCTTTATTCGCGACTTCGATCAAATTCTTGCCCAGCAAATGGACTACTGTATATCTGATCCTAAAATATGTGCCCACGTTCAATCTGAAGTTCGAGCTCGCATCTGGAAAAACTACTCACAACTCTTGGATGCTTGTCAACGACTTCATTTATTTCCACAGGGAATTAAATACACTGAAAACACTTTCGAAATGGCTATCAAAAATTTATTCTCATCTGCCAGAATAAATTAAGTAATTATTGATTCCAAATACTAATCATCTGTGATATATCTTATTATGTGCTTGCTGTATACATGTAACTAGTTCAATAAAATCAACAGAGCTTCAATATGTTTTTTTTTCCAAAAGAAGCCTCATACTTGGCTTGAATTCCTCAATTTTGGCAAGAATTGAAATGCTCGATGAAAAAAAAAAGAAATTCAGATGTGCGTAGGAAAAATAACATCCAATTGGAGATCTGCTGCATCTATTATTTTGGGTTTGTTGTTGATTCTTCATTTGCTATTCGAAAAGATTTTTTCTATAGCATGCAAGTCGAGTCGTAGAGTTCTCATGCTGAAACGAGGCGACACAGCCAAGTTCATGCCGAATACCATGGTCTTCCCTGGCGGTGTCATAGACAAAGCTGATTCGAAGTTAGGCGAAGAATTCAGAATCGCGGCAGTCAGGGAGCTTTTTGAAGAATCTGGAGTACTTTTGACTAAAAATGGATGGCAGACGTCAGCTAACAACTCAGAAATGACGAGTTTGAAGGCAGATGTGGTTACCGATGCTTCCAAGTTTCAGAAACTTTCTGAATCTATTTGTGCTGATAGACTCATCGAGTGGACTACCTTCATCACTCCAGCGAACTATCCACGTCGCTTCCTCACAAAATTTTTTCTTGTTCTTATTGATGGTATGACAACTTTCAACCTCAATACTCAGAGAAATTTAGATTTTCAGAAGAACCCGCGATAGATTTATGTACTTCTGAAATGTCAGAATATTCTTGGATTGATCCAAAAGACTGCGTAGCCGAAGCATATTCTGGGAAGTATGCACTGCCACCACCACAAGTATATGAGCTAACTCGTCTATCTCAAGTTCGCAGTTTCAATCAACTACCAAAATAATCTCCAATATTTCAGATTGAAGATTGGTCGTACTGTGACAAGTATGGAAACGTGAAGAAGCCAATATGTCCCCAGCCAATCAAAACTATAGGCGAAAACATGATTACAAATTGTTTTCCAGGAGATCACATGTATATCGGTTAGTTCAAGAATAACAGTCAATGAATAAAACTGATTAATTTCAGATGAAAATTGCTTCCAACAACCACTCCGACAAATGTCCGCAGACCGTGTAACTGTGTCTCCTAAACTTCAGACGCATCGTGTTACCTACTTCTCCGAACCCACCTATGGGCGTGTTCGTGTTTATCAGCATCTTCTTAAACCAGCGGATGTAGCGGCCTTCCATCAATTTGAAACCCACTCTAAAGATATTCTGTGACTATGAAACATATCCTAAATAGCTAGCTCGGGTTGTTAGGTCTAGTTCGTTCAATAAAGTTGCATAAAACAAATTCGAATAGAGTTGAAAGCTTGTTGTGTCTATTTTTATAAAAAACAACGATAAATAACATGTTATTTTTTATATACTTCACAAACAAATCTCGGTCGCTTTGCTCATAATATAGAGAGAACGAGAGAGAACGAAAATGTTATTTTGCTGAAAAATAAATTTTCCAAAAAAAATACAACAACAGAAAAAAGTCACAAGTTTGCAGTATTCTGCGTAGAAGTAAAATCGGAATAGCACTAACCGTAAGCTTTTCTAATGCCGCGTTCAAAGTTGATTTCCA